ACAAATATTTGACTATTCACATTGTATATTATATCTATCAAATAATATGTATTATAAATCATATATATTTCTTACATGTATAAATGTATTTTTAAAGAATAAGCAAAGATATTCTAAAAGCACATTTGGATAAATTTTCATTTAACTGAAGCCTAAATATGAAAATTATCAAGATTTATAATTTATATAATTGATGTGAGAAAGCGATAAAGTCCATTATAGAGGGATAAAAATTCAACAATTCAAAGTCGACAATTCAACGATTCTTATTAAACTTTATATGAAATGTGAATTGTTAATTTAATACGTCTTTGTCAATTTATCAAGAAGACGTACGATCACAATGTTTGTTATTCTCTAATAACCACAAAATGATATTTCATATACATATATAAATTCTATATTATAGCGATTTGAACAAATTCTTTCAATTGGAAGCTGTGGCGGTCGCGTTTGGCGTAGGAGTGGACGTTGATGTAGATTCCTCCGTTACAATACGTCGATTTTTCTTTATCCTCTTCCATTCTCCATTCGTGTAATTCATTTGGAAATGAGTTTCAACCAACATCGGGACAATTGTTCCGTCAGACTGTGTTACTTCTTCTACATTCTCCGAAAGCATCACTGTGACTATATTACCCAATTTTGGACAGGGATTATCTATATACAAGCGAAATGATTGATAGTATTATTAAATATAATTTACAAAAGAGAAAAATACATCTGAAAGAGACATACCCCTTGAACCAGCCATAAAACCTAAAATAAGAGCTTTTTCTGGACGCGTTACTTTATTTGCAGTTCTAAACATTTCTTGTGCTTCTAACATTTGTTCTCGCTGTAATCCGATAACAAAACAGTGAGTATCCTATATTTACATATATAATTAAATGCATGTAATTAAATTATTAATCTTACTGTAAGAGATAGGCCTTTTCTTGGATTAGCTGCCGCATTAGTCGTAGTAGTCTGTATACGAATCTGTGTGACTGTCTGAGCTGGTCTGACAGTTTGCACAGCTACTGGCGTACTTTCCACAGGTGTTATCACCGTCGGTGTAGTCACTGCCAATACAGCAGTGGGTGTTGTGGTAGTGGTAGTAGTTAACGTAGTAGCTATGTAACACAAAATGTTTAATTAAAATCTGAACAATTTAACATGCGTCTTTTTAATAACTGCAACTTAATAACTTACGTGTTTGCTGCGTAGTTGTAACTGAAATACTGCTTGGCGTGCTAGGTGCGGTATAGGATTGTGTTGTAACTACTACAGTTGGTGTAACAGGTGTAGCAGGCGGATTTATTGAGGCCAATCCTTGCGCGTACTCCGGAGTGGTCGTTTCTACAACTGATGGAGCTGCTGAATTCTTTTCTGCCACAATGGTCGCTTGTGCTTCCACTGCTTTTTTCTGTTGCTCTTCGAAGTCCATCATCTTTTTCCTCTTCTTTGCTACAAATCCCATAGGTTGCTCAGTAATATCGAGCAATTTAATACCACCATCCTTTCGAATTCTGCTGATTGATGTTCTATTAGACATAGAAGTGTTTGTAAGCGATGGGGACCGAAAACCACTCGTTGGAACTCTACTTGGGATTCCTTTCAAAGGTGCTAAAAAAAGTATATACAATATAGTATATTGCAGATAACACAAAGAAGTAACATTTATAAATTTATATATACTTGTATCAGTCATTTTTCTTGGCATTCCTCTGCTTCTTACTGGTACAGTAGGAGCTGTACTCTTTTTGAGATTACTAGCGGCATCAGTACTTTTTTGAAGCAATTCTGCTCTTAAGGCTGCACTTTTTGGTTTTCTCTTGAGAGTAAAATGTTTGACTGGCGTAGGTTGCTGACCTACCACTGAAGTCAATGCAGTCTTGTTAAGATAATGACACTCTAAGGGAAGCATAGCAGGATCATTCTGTTTCTTAAGAAGTTTTCGTAAATCATTGACTAATTCACCAAAAATTGGTCTATGTTCATCCAGATCAGTGATGTCTGTATTTAAAGAACCAGTCGATGGAAAAGTTTTCATCGCTTCGGATAACATTGATACCCATAATTCACTGTCCACAGCTGCAACCTCAATAATCTCCTCCAGTTCTGCACGCCACTATCACCAGATTTAAATAATAAAATTTTAATAAAAGTAAAAATACAAAAAAAAATTGTAAATCCATTAATAGGCGAATGCTTATTAGAGATATGAATTCACTATTAATTTCACTATTTTAAAAAACAAGTATATTTTGAAAAAGCAATACTTGACGAAAGTATGAAGATATAAAGATAGAGGAGAACGCTTACCTCTTCAACATTACGTCTGGGTATGTGAAAAAACGACAGAAGTAACTTGAGTTTAACCTGCGTTTGCAAATCGGGAAAACAATCCTTGATGTTCCGCAATACCTCGGCATTGAGTTGTGAGCAAATTGAGCTGCCGGTCCAGCTATCGTTTGATGTACCGAGCTTATTATGCAGCCACAACGATGTATCACTGTCCCTCACATTCGCCATATTGGAGTCGTTTGCTTCCGGCGCGTGCCGTACCTCACTGTGCGCCACATGCGGTGACATGTGGTGACATATGGTTCCCGCCATGAAGCAACGAACGTGCGCGCGCATATCAGCACAATGTCCTTCCTGGATATCCATAGCCTATAAAGATGCCTTTTCATATTCACGATCGACGCTCATTTTTGCCGTCAAAATCAATCACGTGATACAAATTGACAAACATCAAGCGTTAATTTTGACCTATTGTCACGCTGAAAATGAGTGTTGAGTGTTAAGTCAACATGAAAATGCATCTTAAAGGTATCTTTTTGGAGCGGTGCAATTACACACTGTAGCAATTGCCCACTGTCAGTCACAGAGATTTCTGCATAGGCAGTTTAAAGTAATTTCTTTTTTTTTAGCGTTATAATTATAATTGACTTGTGTGCAATTGGATCGTAGGCAATTGTTATACATTCTTTTGTGTTGACGCTCAAAGCTCATTTTTACCGTCAAAATAAGTCACATGATCAAAATTGACGCTCGATATTCGTCAATTTCTATCACGTGATTTATAAGTTGCCAAACATCGTCGTCACAATGCTCGCAATGCTTCACGATAGCCAATCAGAAGCATCACTAATTATTATTGACGTTTCTTCATTTGTCAAGGAAAATTCAGCACCAACTTCACGACGCGAGACTAAAGAGCCTCAGGCTGGCGTCACATGAACGGAAATCTAAAGCGAAACGAAATCAATCACAATCGCAAAAAAGAAAGCAGAATAATGAGTGCAGAGTTGTGATTGGCCGCGCTGTTCTGTTCCGCTGTAAATTTCGCTCATAGGACGCCAGCCTCACAAGGAGAAAATGGTAAATTGCATTACGTGTCCGTCTCCTCTGATTGGACATGGCATCAAAGCTCCATAGATACGAAAAATTGGAGAAAACCGTAGAGCTTAGGTATTTATACCACTAAGGTATAAATGTGAGTATTCGCATATCCGCCATTTTTACTTCTTTCCCCATTCCTTGCTCTGTTCCCACTCCGTCGCTGAGCTGAGAAAGTTATGGTCGTTACGGTTATTATAGGTTACAGCTTCTAAGCTGTTGGAAGCTTTGTATTTATGTATTTTCGCACTTCGAAATTTTATCATAAGACTAAAAGATGAAAAGAAGAATATAAAAAACCTGAAATATTATATATTAACAAAGGCAAAAAAATTTATAAAATGCCTTGTTGCGTTGCAGTAAACTGTATCAATAGATCAAAAAAAAGTATATCGATTATTTAAATTTTCTACGGATAATTCGTTGACAACTCGCTGTATTGCTGTAAAATAAATACATGACTTGTGAATAAACATCTTCACTTCTTCACAGATGAGAAATTTCAATCCTTTTCTTCAAATTGACATACATATTTGGCACTTTATCTAGAAATAACCTAAACGCCAGACACTCTTCAGGCTCTGCACTAATATGATAGATATTCAACTGATTTTGAGAGCAAAATTGGAATGAAAGGAGCTACAAAATTTCAAGCAGCAAATACAAATCATAATTTGTAATGACCATAACCTGTCATAGCTCAGTGATGGAATGGAGACAGAGCAAGGAGTGAGAAAAGAAATAAACATGATGGATATAAATAGTTTTTAATGCCACTAAAGAAGGAATACTTTAATATCACTAAAGAAGGAATACGGACATCAAGCTATGAACAAGATTTAAAAGACACAAATAGCTTTCTATCCTCTTCTACCCTCTTTTGGCACATGCGCAGAAAGAAGAAAAGTTATTGAGTAGGACAGAAATGTATCCATACAGAAATATCTTCTGTCTTTCAGCTCTTGCTCATACTTTCCATTCATTGCTTGGCTAAGTTATTCCCTCTCCTACTCAGTAGTAAGTTCTATGGAAAAAACTCCAATCACATGACACCCATCCTGATTGGACGTGAGCATTCACGTGATACAATTTGCCACTCCCTCCCTGCAAGTCTTTCGCGAAACAGATCGGTATTCATAAGCTGCTTTTTCATGCTAATACTCGATGTTCATTTTTAGCGTCAAAACAGGTGATGTTGATGCTTAATATTTGTCAATTTTAATCATAACCTATTTTAACTCTTGAATCGAGCATCGAGCATGAAAATGTAGCCAAAAGGTGCATTCGGGAAGATGCTATTAAGCCGGAATCAGAATCATTAAAGATTAAAATTAAAGATTAAAGATTGAAATTTCATCAATGAGGACAAAGAAATTTTGGCTCCTTTTGTTTTGGTTAGTCAAACTTTAATCTTTCAATCTTCAATCTCATTCTTCAATGCATTCTGATTCCGGCCTTAGCGCTATTTCATTCTGTGGGTCTGAGCACAAGAATTGTCACAACACTTACTTAGATTTAAATTGTAGACGTAAGTAATGCACAAGCTTTCACGTATGACGTATAACTTATTGCCATGTCTCCAAAAGACGGCAATAATCGTATATCATACGCCAAAACTTGTGCGTTATTTACGTCTACAACTTAAGTCTCTTAGTTACAATATTTTTGTGCTCAGATCCTATCCTTGTTTTACGTCTAATAAACAACAAAGATAGAAGAATAAAAGTTAGCGCTAATAGCATCTCCCCGAACGTATTGATTCTTACAATTAAGATTGTTTTAAGTCAATTTTAAGATGTCGTAAGTCAATCCGAAGACTGTATTAACATGTTAAGACTATGGCTGTGTTCGCTTTGATGTTCATAACGCTTTAAGCATTTCATCCTTGTTGTTTAGTAAATATTAAATAAGGACAATTAATGCTTACAAGCGTTGTAAGCGGCAAAGCGAACGCAACCATTTAAAACGATTTTAAAATAAAAACGGACTATGAATACCGCCCCATGTTTTTCGCGTTTCACTGGTATAGGACTTAAGCCTATCTTTTGCTTTTTTCTCGTTTGCAACGGTTTTATCAAATTGTATTTCTTGCTTCTTTCAAAGTTAACTTTTATCTCGGGCAACATAAAACAAAAAACCGGATAAAAAGCAAAAAGACAAAATGTCAAAAAATAGTAAAAGGCAAGAAACAGGAAACAAAAAGCATATTGTTAAAATAGACTTTACAGAATGAAAAAATAGAGAAATGACAGAGTGCTAATTTTAAAGAGAGACGCTTGCAAATTGAACACACCAAATAATCTTTCTATCATGAGTCATGACACATCATGTTATCCCTTCCATATCCACCATGAATTGTAGACAAACGAGATGAGGGATCCTTTCGATCCTCCCCGATCACCCAATGTGACACTGGTGTGCAACTTTGGTTTAGTATATGTTCTGTGGCAGTTCTGTGAGTTATGCTCGATGAGATGTAGTTGCATGTGTCTACCTCGATTTATGCGTCTTTCTCCGATTAATCTTCAACTGCGGATTGCAAACATGTTAGGCTCAAATGTTGTATCAGATTCTCAGGAATCTGCATTGATGGATGACGAAACATATAAGGATATAGAGAAAACTTTGTAAGTAACTTTCATTTAATTCTATTGCTCGTCCATTGTACCGGTCGGTCGCGTTTCTGTATCACGAATATGTTCTTTCACACAATAAAAGGCTCTTCTCAATTAAATGCTTCAAAAAAAGATTTGATTCAGCCTAAAACAAAGTTAATCAAGTGATATATCAGTCAATTGTACGAAATACAGATACATGAGATGAACATGAGATGAAAGACCAAAAAAATTCAAACAATAAAAGATGATGCAATATTCAGATCACAATGTTCCGACCATCAATGTTCGAGACCATCGTTTGAAACTGTGGGTAAAGTCTATGATGCTTATTTTCTTGCTGGTTTAGTTGATAGATCCATTGTTAGTTGCATTGTTTACTGCTAGTCATAGTTTTGTATGTATTATTTGTGAATTAGCTTGATACTTGATGAACAATATATGGACGTACATATGTAAGATATTACATACAATAACGTAAGAATTATATTCAGAGATAAAAGAAAATAGACCATAAGATATATATATATATATTATATATATTGTACTATATACATTATATATATATATATACATATATAAATATACATATATATTGATAATATATATATGCAGGCTGCTAACACGCTTCGCATGCGATCTAGCAGGAAAACAAGCATTGTGGACCACTGGCTTAACTGTTGTATACTACGACGTTCTTTTTTTGTGAAATGAACGAATCTGGCAGAAAAAAAGTATCTCTGCCCCGTGAACCGAGATATTAATCATTAAAGTTAATCGACTATAAATTAATAAATCTATCATAACTGTGAAAAAGTCTTTGAGAAGCTGACATCTTATTTTAAAAAATCGAAAATTTTATTAATAATTCTGCTTGCACCCGTAATAGTTCTATATCTTTCCTGTTAGGAAAGATATAGTTCTGTTGATTTAGTTAAAAAAAAAATAAAATAAAAATGCGGTGCTAACTTCGCATTTCAAGTTTCGAAAAAATTGATTATATTATGAAATTTCATGGTTCCCGAAGAGTTATGTAGTTCCTGATATATTTTAGCAATTTCTTTCCTCTAAAGGATCCTCTATATAGAAGTCGTAAACGATCGTGAAGTCTTAAGTCATAGGAAACCAATCACAATCAAATATAAGGAGAATATTCTATTATGCTGATTCTACAATGAGTTAGCAGTTGGAAGTTTTAATCGATGAAATTGGCCAATCAGCTTTAGTCATACAAGTTGGCTATTAGTCAACTTCACCGATAAGACTTAGGACCGATTATCTCATAGTAGAATCCTCATTAGAATGGGTTAGTTTTCTAGAGGAGGAGATCCTTAAGTATTTTAAAATCAATTTTTCATCTGAGAACTGGCATCTCAAATTTAAAAAAAATTTATTTTTGGTATGAAATTCTTTTATTCTTGAAGAGTTTTACAGTTCCTGATAAATTTTAGTGATAGTTTCGGCCTTTAAATACTTTTAAACACTTTTTTAATATGAGCGCTGGAACTTCATTCAAACGAATAAAGTAAAAGCCAGTTCCAGCCGACTCTTTGGTATTTTCTGAAATTCTGCAAT